TATGACTGACCCAAGGTCACATCACCAGCTGCATGTTGAGGAGTGGGGAATCAAACCCGGTTCTCGCAGATTAGAGTCCGTGCTCTTACCCACTACACCAAACTGGCGAGTACGAACTCGCATTTTGTGTGACGACATATAGACATCCAAGGCTTGACCATGTCAACACTAGGGAGTACACGGCAGCTTCTAGCGATGTTTCTTTTGAGGATTGTTGAGCAAAGTAGAGAAGACGGACATGAAAGTCTGTGCCTCAGCTTACAGCCACCAGTTGTTCAAAACTCCACAGAGACACAGCCACGAATTATTAGCCTAGTATCTCTTTTTCTCATAACTTTGAAATCCACTCACATCTTCTCTGGATGAAAGTGTGGCTTTATAACCTCCCGTTCTTTGATTCTGGAATGTTGCTCTGTCACATAGTGAGAGGAGCCTGCTTTGTTCTTGGACAGCTGAATTAACTGGTGCCAGTTAGCTTACCGTGTCTCTGTCATGGTTGCCAGTGTCTATGCCATGGAGCCAATTTGGTGTAGTGGTTAAGTGCGCGGACTCTAATCTGGCAGAGCCGGGTTTGATTCCCCACTCCTCCACATGCCACTGCTGGATGACCTTGGGCGAACCATAGTTCTGGCACAGCTGTTCTTGAAAAAGAGCAGTTTCTGTCAAGAGTTCTCTCAGCCCCACCCACCTCATATGGTGTCTGTTGTGGGTAGGGGAAGGAGTTTGTAAGCCGCTCCGAGACTCCTTTGGGTAGTGAAGGGCGGAGTATAAATCAAATCTCTTCTCTTCTTCTTTTCTATGTTGGATCCGATCAATTGGCAGATCCTACTCGATAATGGGGAGCAATGTTCCCTCTAAGCTGTGGAGTCTTGTGAGCAAAAATTCTACTTTGTGAGCTGCTGGCATTAAAGTTGTGAGCAAGTGATTTGACTACTGCATAAATTAGTCTGCTCTGGAGCCATCTCTCCTGAGCTAAGACAAAAATGTGTGAGCCAGAGGATAAAAAACTGTGAGCTAGCTCACACTAACTCAGCTTAGAGGGAACACTGATGGGGAGATGACCGCGAAGGTACCGGTAAAAAGCCATGTGGACTCTGCTGAGAGTTTCAGCACTCTCTCTGTCTGCAAAGTGCTTGTCCTTCTATGAGGGTGCGTCCCTAGCTGACGTGCTGGAATGCTTGTTTCATTAACACCTTCCTCCAAGATGTGTGGCAGTGTGGCGACACATGTTAATCTGTTTGCTATGCAGAAGGTCCCAGGTTCAATCCCCAGCCTCTCCAGTTGAAAGGACTGGGTAGGAGGTGATGCGAAACCTCAGTCTGGGGCTCTGGAGAGCTGCTCCCAGTCTCAGTAGACAGTACTCGACTTTGATGGACCAGTGGTCTGATTCAGTAGAAGGCCGCTTCATGTGTCCACCCGTGCAGTCCATAAGGGAGTTCGCAGAGGCAGACCATCCCTACTCCAGAACATTTTTTTATTTTTTGTATTTTTCATATGTACATGCGTGTGTGTGAGTGTATATGCACCGGGAAGTCATGGCGACCTCTGGTGACTGACTCCTACTGGGGGCCCGGAGGATATTCAGAGAAGTGGCTGAATACAGCCTGCCCCCACCTCCCAACTACTGGTATTCCGAGGAGGTCTCCCATCCAAGGACTTGCCGGAGTCGACCCTGCTTAGTTTCCGAGATCTGACGAGATCAGGCTTGCCTGGGCTATCCAGGTCAGGGCACCAGAACATCTTTCAGATTGACACTCGGACACTTGTACCTGGCTGGATGGCCCTGGGCAAGCCGTAGTTCTGATAAGAGCTGTCCTTGAAAAAGAGCAGTTTCTGTCAGAGCTCTCTCAGCCCCACCCACCTCACAGGGTGTCTGTTGTGGGGAGGGGAAGGGAAAGGAGTCTGTAAGCCGCTCTGAGACACCTTTGGGTAGTGAAGGGCGGGGTATAAATCCAATCTCCTCTTCTCTTCCTCTGCAGGGGTGTTCCTTGGTGGTCTCCCATCCAAGTACCAACCATGCTTAGCTTCTAAGATCTGATGAGATCAGGGTATACTATAACATTCCTCATCTTAATGCCACCATTTACCCATTCTTTTAAATTCATGGCAAATAAAAAACAGCATGGAAAAGCCAAACAGGAAGACCTTTCCATTTTAACCCTACAACTGTTCATCATCCGCATAATAATAATTAATAATAATTATCGAATGGCAGTGTGTGGAGATCCTAAGATTGTCTGGCAGCCAGAAGTTCTAGCTCCTTTAGCATTGTGCACCACTAGGTGGTGGGCTAGACTTGTTTTTAAGATAAGAGACATTTCAGAGGTGGTTTGCCATTGGCTGCCTCTTCGTCACACTCCTGGCATTCCTTGGAGGTCACTTGTCCAAATACTAGTCAAGGCCAACCCTACTTAACTTCCATGATCTGACAAGATCAAGCTAGCCCAGGTGATTCAGGCTACCCACACTTTCTCAGTCTATAGCCATGTGGCTTTGGGGTGTGTGGTTGGGCTTTTTTGAATTTCTAAGCAAACTGACTCAAGGTTCTTATTTCTGATTTATTATAATTATCTTTTTATCCATCAGTAAGGGAAGAACCCTTGTCCTGCATTTCAATAACCTACCTGGAGTTTCAGACTTCAGTTATCTGCTGAAAGGTAGAGATAAGTTTGTGATGAATAGAATGGCCCTCTTTGCAAAGACAATGTAGGAATTCAGCAGTGCATTGCCCGACTAACATGTCAGTCCTCTGCAGAGCTCTGCAGAGTAAGCCTGTTGAAAGCAATGGGCTTAGACAGGTGTAACTATGCAGAGGGTGACCCTGTGGACTGCATTCCTCAGTGTTTTCTTCCTCAGTTAAATGTATGTAACCAAAATGAATATATACCGTATTTTTTGGACCATAAGACTCACTTTTTCTTCCAAAAAAAGTGGGAGTGCGTCTTATGGACCGAAGGTTCAGAATATTTTTTCCCGGAGTGCGTCGTATGGACCGAAGGTTCAGAATATTTTTTCCCCTGTTTTCCTCCTTTAAAAACTAGGTGCATCTTAAGGTCAGGTGCGTTTTATGGTCCGAAAAATACGGTGACTAAAATTAGAGGTTTCATCAACTGGCACTCTCCGGCGTTAGACAAATAAAGGATTTCTATCTACGTTTCATGGAGCTGCGGAGGTTCAAGTGCTTAAGACGCTGAACTGCAGGCTGTGGAAGGTCGGTAGTTCAGCAATTCAAGACCCGAGTGTGCCGCATGACGGAGTGAGCTCCCGTCTCTAGTTCCAGCTCCTGCCAACCTAGCCGTTTGAAAGCAAGAAATTGCAAGTAGATAAATAGGGACCACTTTCGGTGGGAAGGGAACAGCGTTCCGTGCACCTCGGTGTTTAGTCATGCCGGCCACATGACCACGGAAACGTCTTCGGACAGCGCTGGCTCTTCGGCTTGGAAATGGAGATGAGCACCGCAACCCTAGAGTCGGACTCAACTGGCTCTCGAGCAAGGGAACCTTTACCTTTACCTTTTTTAGCTGTTTCATGCAGTTCTTAAACTAGAGGACTGTCTGATAGGAGGAATGTTTGGCTTTTTCTGAACTATGAAGGCCGATTATTGGATTTTTTTGTATCTTTAGAGTGCAGTTTTCACATAAACCTTGAACTAAACATGCAAACAGTGCATTCCTAAACAGAGTTAATCCCTTCAAAGACCTTTCACGTCAGTAGACTTAGAAGGGTGTAAGTCTGTTTAAGATTGTACTACAGTGTCAATGGCTTCCTGTTGCTATTTATACACAAGTCAACATGTTTGGAAGTTGGTTAAAGATGAATAATTCACAAGCAAGCCAACCGCAGTCTTCGCAGGTGTTTCGGTATAACCCCAGTGCATCAGAACAAGTCTAATGCCTCATAGGGTATGACCAGCATGTGGAATTCTTGTTTTGTCCATTTTGTTTTTCAAAACTTCCATTCAGGTCTTTCCATTTGAGCATTTTGAAAAAATTCCCGGGGAGATGTCCAGTATCACCAATGAGTGCCCCAAGGTAGCTTCTTCCAAGCCGTTAGCATTGTACTATTTTAAGACCAAGGAAGAAGAAGAGGAGGGGGAGGAGGAGATTTGATTTATACCCCACCCCTCACTCGGACTCTCAGAGCAGTTTACAATCTCCTTTCCCTTCCCTTCCCCACAACAGACACCCTGTGAGGCAGGTGGGGCTGAGAGAGCTCTGACAGAAACTGCTCCTGAGAGAACAGCTCTGACAGAACTATGGCTTGCCCAAGGTCATCCAGCAGCTGCAAGTGGAGGAGTGGGGAATCAAACCCGGTTCTCCCAGATTAGAGTCCATGCGCTTAACCACTACACCAAACTGGCTTAACCACTACACCAAGTTAGTCAAACTGTAGTAAGAGTCTCGCCTGGGACCTTCTGCAATGCCAAGCAGGTGCTCTGCCACGGAGCCACAGCCCCTCCCCTAAACCACAGGCATGAAGAGGTCTCACCTGAGCCTTTGTGTCAATACCTCCCCCCTTCATATATAATAGCAGCCCAGAGACCAAGACCAAACTCGGTAAAATCTGTTGTGGAAGTTTTGTTGGTTATTCTCTGTGCTGAAATGAGGAAGGGAAAGCACGCGGAAGGAAGCAAAGGCCACCTGCTTGCTCCCTGGACCTACAATATGTAGCATTTGCTGTACCATTTGATACGACCCTGTTTTCCTGTCAGCTCCCCCCCTAGCTGTGATGTGTTAGTGGATCCCTCTAGTCTTGCAAGAAAGCTCTGCCTCTTCTGTACGACTTTCGATGTCGAGATGACTCCCAGGTGCTTTTTTGTGATTATGAAACAGGTGGGAGTGTTTTCAAATAATGGCAGGAACCCCAGATTCACAGCGTGCGTTCCCATTAAAATTGAACACGGGGTTGTGGAAGTTTCTGTCCGGCTGTTTAGCAGTTCAGATGAAGGCGTTTTAAATGCTGCCGTGTAAATACGTAACGTAATTGCTTTGTTTTTTTAGTTGAAATGAATAGTCAAGTCGAAACCATAGAGGAACCAACAGAATCCCAGGCTGAGAATTAATTGTGGGTAAGTCCTTTTCGTTTCTATCGCTTTACTAAAAAAATCGGACCGATTCCTTCCCTTTCGTCAGATTAAAGCTCTTTTGACCAAATCCCTTGAACAGTCATGTTCCCCCTTCTGATAAAACTTATCTTTGAGATTTTATACCCAAACAATTAAAAAAAAAAATTAGTGACAGCGAGGGTAATAAATTTGAACCAATCAATTTCGTAGCATTTGTCAAGATTTTTGACCTATAGAAGTGAAGAGAATTACGTATCCACCATCCCCTATCAATAGCGGCATGGATCTTACCTACCTAAAGGTAAAGGTAAAGGTAAAGGTTCCCTTGCTCAAAAGCCAGTCGAATCCGACTCTAGGGTTGCGGTGCTCATCTCCGTTTCAAAGCCGAAGAGCCAGCGCTGTCCGAAGACGTTTCCGTGGTCATGTGGCCGGCATGACTAAACACCAAGGCGCACGGAACGCTGTTCCCTTCCCACCGAAGTGGCACCTATTTATCTACTTGCAATTTCTCGCTTTCGAACTGCTAGGTTGGCAGGAGCTGGAATGAGAGACGGGAGCTCACTCTGTCATGCGGCACACTCGGGTCTCGAACTGCTGAACTACCGACCTTCCACAGCCTGCAGTTCAGCGTCTTAACCACTTGAGCCACCGCAGCTCCTACCTACCATCTTACCTACCGACAGATGTGCAATTACTCTGTCATTTCAAAACTCTAGAATTCAGGACACCGCTGAGTGGTTAACAGCAGATACTGGGCAATTCTGCATCTATTTTATGTATGTATGTATGTATGTATGTATGTATTTATTTATTTATTTATTTATTTGATTTTTGCCCTGCCCTCTGCACCAGGGCAGGCTCAGGGCAGCTTACAACAGAACCATAGATAAAGCAACAATATAAATGAGTATAAATATTAATATAAATACACAGTAAATTATTAAAACCATTAACATAGCGATGGTGACGTGACTATAATAAGATAAGTGGTACCTCCACTATCGGTGGGCTCAGGCAGGGAATACGATTAGGAGAGGACATAGATGGTAAGACGCAGCTCCTTACCCGAATGCCTGACGGAAGAGCTCAGTTTTTGTGGCCCTGCGGAACTGCGAAAGGTCCCGCAGGGCCCTAATCTCATCCAGTAAGTAGGAGCAGTCGCAGAAGAAGCCCTAGTCCCGGTCAATACCAGCCTGGCGTCATTTGGACCGGGGGGGGGGGAGACGGTTTTGCGACCCTGACCGTAGTGCTCTATGGGGAACATATGGCATCTAGCACTCGCTCCACATTTTCTCAACTGGGAGGAAAAGGTGCAGCTCAAACCCACATTCAGATACCTCGGGGCAACGCCCTACTGACTGCAAAGTCACCCCTGAATGGCCATAAATCTATGCAGAAGGTACCATAAAACCCAATGATCAAAGAAAGCAAAAGTGGCATTCAGTGTAGAGGGTACCATAAAATCCAATGATCAAAGGAAGTGAAAGTGACATGCAATGCAGAGGGGAATTTCTCTTCCAACGTGGGTTTGCTATAAAAAAGCCAATGCCGAATCGCCCACTGTGTTCTCCACCTGTTCCATCTGAACTATCAATGGGACCGAATCTTCGTATGGGCAATCGAACTGCCATCCACATTCGCAGGAATAACCACAGTGTAATCTGAGGGCCCCAGAAGTTCTTATTTTGGTGGCAAATGGGGAAAGAACTTCTACCACCGCAGAGACTGCTGTTAGCTGTATCCCTGCACAGCCCGGTTCATGCTTCCATTTCTCTGTGCGAAAGACTGTCTGATGCCTCCCGAGAACCGATCTTGACAGGACATGTTATGTATCTGCAGAACCCGAGGAAGGGGAGGGGGAGTAACCGCAGCATCTGTTCCTTATAGAATATAAGATCCACCAAGACTTCCTTGTGGGAGATTAGCAATCATCGCTGAATATGTAACATACAGAGTTGTAAATGGAGAAGGGAGGGGGTTAAAGGGGGTTATGATTGAAACTATTTCTGTTGAGCAGAGTGACTTGCTTCATATATGATTTTAAAAATATATATACGTTTCGGATAACAGTCACCAAATAAACCCAAAAGCAGATATCCTCGAATAATATCCCGAGAGAGCACAGCTATGTCGTTTTAAATCCACAGTATTGCAATCTGAGAAATTCAGGAGTTGTCGAATGAACGTGCTGAATCACAGTTTAAGCGTTTTATTCTCGTCGGAATTAAGCTTGGCTCTCCAGTGTCGGTATCCTGGGAAGAACCAGATTGTGTCCTGACAGTTGTATGCCCTTTGCTCTCTGTCGCCAAACATCCCTTTTGACTCCGCTGCCTTTCGAACAGTCTCGCTTTATTTATTTATCTCATTTGAAAAGGAAACGGTGTGCCATTGCAGAGTCTCATTACAGGAAGCACACAAAACAGGGGCCGGCAGACCATGAGATTCCTGGATAGAAAGGGGTGAAAGTTGACAAAAACCCTGTCACGCTCAAATTAGAAAACACACTTCTGACATCCCTCCCATAGACAGGGGGTCCTAGCAGAACACGCATATGTGCCGCCCCCATCTCTTTTGTAATGCTTATCACACGACACCAATACTATAAATACCACCAGGATGTGTTATTTACACCCATAATAGGATTTCACGTCTCTCAAAACCTTTATAAACAGCGACAGGTCTGTCACGGATATTTTAAAGAGCCTCATTACCGTGTGCGCCTTTTGTGTCCTTGCTACTTGACAATATACTGCTGTGCTGAAGATGGGAGAGAGAAAGGCGGTCTCCTTTGGCCTCTATTCAGAATGTTGTCGAGGAAGGGGGGGGGGAGAAATCCTCACACATGTGACATAACAGTTAAAATGCTACATCTGACACCCTTCCTCTCCATTTTGCCATTTATTTAACCCTCCACACACACCCCTTTTTAATATTTATATTCTAATAATTAGGGTTGTCAGGCACTTGAATTTTAGAAACAAAATGAGAATCGATGGCCGTCAGCGAGTAGGAAAATATACCGAGTTTAATATACCGAGTTTTCAATAAGCTCTCTGGAATGATTATATTTGCCCATGTCACAGATTGGTGAATTGAGTTATTTACTCTTTCAGTGGCTGATTCACAAATTCCTGGACAAGAAAATTAACAAAGGGCAGATACAAATTGGATGAAATGGGAAGCGAGTTGTTGTCAGTAGCCAGTCTTGCAGATCTTATTTCCCAGGAAGGCTCTATTTTTGACCTGCAGAAGGTTCCAGGCACTAGGGATTGATCACTCCAAGCACGGTCTACTTTAGTCATTTATTTATTTATTAAATTTGACTGGCTAGACTGTCCTTCCCTACGAGCAGGGCTCAGGGCGGCTTACAACAGAATGATAACAATTAAGCAACATTAAAACTATTAAAAAGAGATCAGTGGATGAAAACAAAACATATACCAGATGGCGGGAAATCAGCTCCCCTAACCTCCTTAGGGGGAGGGGTTGCGAGGGATGGGGGAGTCAATGAGAGTGCCGGATGTCCTCTCCCCCCCCCATCACTGTCCTCAACCAAATGCCTGGCGGAACATCTCTGCTTTGCATGCCTTGCAGAAAGGTAATAACTCCCGCGTAGCATGGATGTCTTCCGGTAGAGAGTTCCACCAGGTGGGGGCCAGGGCTGAAAAAAGCCCCCGCCCTGGTTGTGGACAGCCAGATTTCTTTCAGGCCAGGGACCACTAGGAAATTCTTATTTCCTGAGTGCGGTGCTCTTCTGGGGACATATTGGGAGAGGCGGCCCGGAAGGTAGGTAGGTCCCTGACTGTTAAGGTAAACTGGAGAGCCAGTTTGGTGTAGTGCTTAAGTGTGTGGACTCTAATCTGGGAGAACCGGGTTTGATTCCCCACTCCTCCACTTGCAGCTGCTGGATGACCTTGGGCAAGCCATAGTTCTGTCAGAGCTGTTGTTGAAAAAAGAGCAGTTTCTGTCAAGAGCTCTCTCAGCCCCACCTACCTCACAGGGAGTCTGTTGTGAGGAAGGGAAGGGAAAGGAGTTTGTAAGCCACTCTGAGACACCTTTGGGTAGTGAAGGGCGGGGTATAAATCCGGATCCACCTTACAGAACCCGTCTTGGAACTGGGAACATCAGAGCACCAGCACTTTGTTGTATTATTGTTATGTTTTTATTCTGTTTTAATTGTTTTAAATATGGCTTTTGCCCCAATTGTTAGCTGCCCTGAGCCTTAGGGGAGGGCGGGATATAAATCGAATTATAAGTAAATAAATAAATTAGCATGGGTGACCTCATGATGGCATATATAGTTTCAGAACCAGAAGTGACATCGCAGCATCATGCAGCACTCTAGGAGTTTCCCAAATATTTATGGCAAAAACCATAGACATTTTCAGGAACCCCAGAGTGCCACACAACGTCCTGACAGTTCTGGTTCCTATTTGGAGCTGAAAACTGGCTTACAGCCTTAAGGAGAAAGCCTTGTTTACGGACACGTAAAATAAGATGCCTCTTTTCCGAAGAAAAATAAAAGATCGGTCCAAATAAAAAGAAGATAAGATCTAAGTAGGGAAAAGGTAAAATGTGTGTAGCAAGAAAACGGGGACTCAGGGAGACGGACGAAAACTCAGGAGGAGCAAACGGGGGAAGGAATGTAGATGTGATAAAATACCATCTAGGCAAACGAGAAGCAGTATAATTATTTCTTTTTTTAAAAAAAAGATAACCAAATGGCCAAGAAGCTCTGAAGTGGGAGGGGGGCGACAGAGAGAGAAAGAGATGAAGGACTTCTCTCACCCACGCAGGTATGCCAGGATATCTGATGGGCACGCGGAGGAGAGCGCGGCAAGATGGGAGAAGGAGTCAGAACAAAGACTCCCTTTCATGCCAGACCTTTTGCGGAGCCTGATATTATCACCTTGTCAGATCAAACCCTTTCCCAACATCTGGACTGAAGAAACTTTAAGCGACCACTAATTGGATACGCCAGAAGACCCTCTTTCTAATTCATATTTATCTGTCTTTCTGTAATGTTCGGCAGAGACCCCCCCCACCATAGCAATCCGTAAAAGACAGAAACCGCCACCCCCCAAAAAAAGATTAAAAGTAGATTAAAACTGCGATTGCTAGGAACTCGCAGAGTCATATGAATAGTAAAAAGTAAAGGTAAAGGTTTCCCTTGCTCGAGAGCCAGTCGAATCCGACTCTAGGGATGCAGTGCTCATCTCCGTTTCCAAGCCGAGGAGCCCTGTCTAATCTGGGAGAACCGGGCACTGTCCAAAGACGTTTGGAGCACTGTCCAAAGACGTTTCCATGGTCATGTGGCCGGCATGACTAGACGCCGTGGCTCATGGAACGCTGTTACCTTCCCACCGAAGCGGTACCTATTTATCTACTTGCAATTTCTTGCTTTCAAACTGCTAGGTTGGGGCCAGAGACAGGAGCTCACTCTGTCACACGGCACTCGGGTCTCGAATTGCTGAACTGCTGACCTTCCGGTCTGCAGCTCAGCATCTTAACCAATCTAGAATTAAAGCCAGAATTCATTTGCGAAGTGACACTGGTATAAGAAAAGAAGAAGATAAGAGAAGCCAATGTTGGATCAGGCCAATGGCCAATCCAGTCGAACACTCTGTCACACAGTGGCTGATAATACCAGGTGTCATCAGGAGGTCCTTCAGTGGGGCAAGGACACTAGAAGCCCTCCCACTGTTGCCCCCCCAGCACCTAGAATACAGAGCATCACTTACCACATACCGAGAGTTCCTATCTATACCGTGTGGCTAATAGCTACTGATGGACCTCTGCTCCATATGTTTATCCAACTCCCTCTTGAAGCTCCATATGTTTATCCAACTCCCACTTGAAGCTGTCCATGCTTATAGCTGCCACCACCTCCTGTGGCAGTGAATTCCTTGTGTTAATCACACTTTGGGTGAGGAAGGACTTCCTTTTATCCATTCTAACTCGACTGCTCAACAATTTCATTGAGTGCCCACGAGTTCATGTATTGTGAGATTCAAACAATGCTTTTGCTATACAGTTCGTATTTATTAATGCAGTGGTTGAAGTTTTTGCATGTTGTATTCATTACCGAGGTGATCTGTCTGTCTGTCTGTCTGTCCATCTGTCTGTCTTCTGAATTATTTTAATTGGGGGGAAAACGCTGCCTTTCTAGGGAACCTGTCTGAGCTGGCTGACAAAATAAAAATAAAACATAACAAAAACATAAAACATTGAAAAGGTATTAATTAAAATCTAGAATTAAATCCAGATTTCATTTGCAAAGTGACACTGTTATCTTACCGATCCGTCATTCTTTCACTCTTGATGTCTGCTTTTTGCCAGTGTGTCTCATTTTCAGTTTGTTTCTTCTTTTTTATTCCTGTACTTATTGCCAGTGCACATGAGGGCATATAAAATCGCTTTAAAGATCTGCTAAAAAACAAACGAACAGGGGAAGCTTGACAAAATCAGACAATTGCATTAGGATTTCATTTGGGGGGCCTTTTCTTACACGTGCATATGCACAGCGGCACATTGTCCGTGGGGTGATGGGGGTTTCTTGCACATCATCAGACCAAACACACTGGCAATCTTCTCATGCACCGATTCCAAAAGTAATTTCAGAAATTCTTCCAAGCTAACCCAGAAGACACGGGGGAGAACATAAGAACATAAGAGACGCCAATGTTGGATCAGGCCAAAGGCCCATCCAGTCCAACACTGTGTCACACAGTGGCCAGAAATACCAGTGCCATCAGGAGGTCCAGCAGTGGGGCCAGGACATTAGAAGCCCTCCCACTGTTGACCCCCCCCAAGCACCAAGAAGACAGAGCATCACTTGCCCCAGAGCCCCTAGCTATACCTTGTGGCTAATAGCCACTGATGGACCTCTGCTCCATATGCTTATCTAATTCCCTTTTGAAGCCATCCATGCTTGTAGCACCCACCACTTCCTGTGGCAGTGAATTCCAAGTGTTAATCACTCTTTGGGTGAAGAAGGACGTCCTTTTATCCGTTCTAACCCGACCGCTCTGCAGTTTCATGGAGTGCCCACGAGTTCTTGTATTGTGAGAAAGGGAGAAAAGTACCTCTTTCTTTACCTGCTCTTTCCCATGCATAATCTTATAAACCTCG